TGTAAGCATATCATTAGAATACATGCAGCCTTTTGGTGGGGCTTCATTTATATAACTCTGTACCCTTCACTTTGCAGCTTGCTTTCTCCACTCAGCGTTGTATTTTTGATTTCAAGACTACAGGCGCACCTGGACTAGTGGGCTTTTGATTTGCTCTGCATCATGCCAGCATGTGCACGAGCCACCCTGTAGTCAGCTCATTTGCCGACTGATGGCTCTTTGGTCTGTCCCAGGGCGGGTTCCCAGGGACTAGACTGAGGCAGGGCTGGCTGCGGAAGCACACCGAGAGTGCTCCAGGAGCTGCACCTGTCAGGGAGGGGAGGACACTGGACTGGGTGGAGGGAGACGCTGGGTGAGATACAGCTGCAGTGGAGATCTCAGCCAATTCCAAGGGAAGCTCTGGAGTGGGGACATCACTTCTGGGTTACCCCAAATTGAAGCCCGGGACCAAGCTTTCATAGCCCCCACAACTAGTTATTGGACAGATATTGTCCCTGGGGGAGGAAGGACATCACCTGGGCTAGGTACACCCTGCAGGCAGCTAAGGACAGATTCTGGGGAGGAGCAAGCTGTGAGCTGCCAGCTGTCGGTCCTGTAAGGGGATCTGGGTGGGCACTGGCTCTTGCCAGGTTTTCGCGATTATAAGCAACGTGGCAATGCTATCTCTGAGTGTGCCTCTCTGCTCATGTGCAAGGATGTCTCTAGGGTAGGTACAAAGAAATGAAGTTTCTGGATCTCTCAGCTCTAACAGATGCGGCTGAATCGTCCTCCAGGGCAACCAAACCCACTGGCAGTCCCACCAGCCACTTAGAACAGCTCATTTCCCCCCTCACCAGCTCCCCTGTGTAAGAGTGTCACGTGGTTTCATTTATGCAGATCTAATGAGTATAGGATGGAATCTCATTATCATTTCCATTTGCTTTGCCACGATTATAAACGAGCCTGGGCGCAAAAAAACTGCCAGTGGTTAAATTCTCTCATTTACGTCCTACTTTGGGCCTGAATGTCCACCAGACTATCCCCATGCCAGCTTTCTTCTCTTCCTGTCTCTCTCAGTTCACCCAAGAAGAGGGTGTCTCATCTGAGCCTTTTTGTAGTGTCAGAAGTTACCTCGTGCATCAGACAGTCCTGGTGGATTCTAGAACCCTGGAGTGCAGGTGTCCTGTGGGTAGGAAGCCAACACAGCCCTGCTGGCCTCTCCTCATTTCACTCAGCACCATCAGTGCTGAAGACCAGGGTCTGTTGCAGGAGCTGTCTGGGCGGAGGGAGCCCCCCAGAGATGGGCTTGCTCCAGGGTCCCCATTGCATGTTGGACCAGCACGTCCACCATGGTGGGCCTCCACTTCCTCATCCACCTGCAGGCTGCTGTAAGGACCACCTGAGATGATAGGGTAGGAGCCACCTGGGGCCATGTGGGTCCAACTCAGGGGCCCAGCTTCACAGTTCCCATAAATGGGCATTGCAGAAGTCTAGGGAAGATTCCAGGACAGAGGGCGCTGGTCAGATGAGCTGGATAAATAACCAATGCCATAGTACATGGAAAAAAAAGAGTTTCCAAGTTCAGAGGGATGTGACCTCCCACTCCTACCTGTACTGGTCCAGCTCATGTCAGAATTAAGTTGGATTTGGAAAAGAGAAGGCTGCAGGCAAGGACTGATCCAGGGACCCCTTTCTCCCAGTTTTAGTGGAATTCTGGAGGAAGTATAAGCCACAATGTTTAGTGTCTATATTAACAGAACCTGAACCAAAGAATAGAAGGATTTCCGTCCCCTCCTTCCTTCACCAGAGAATAACACCCCGTCTGTGCCCAGCAGACCAGAGGACCCTACATCGCAGGACGAGAGGGGCAGTGACCACAGGAGGGCAGCGTCTCCCCAGGAGAGCACAAACCCTGTCTGGTGCATCTGTCTCATGCTGTAGCTTTGATTCTTCCTGTTAGTGTGACTATGACCTTGACCTTGAGGAAGCATTCAGGACAGAGGCCAGGAGAGCAGAGAGAAGGTAAGCTGGGCATCACAAAAGGGGTTCAAATCCTGGCTCCAGCAGTTCTTGGCTGGTGGCTCTGAGCAAAGTGTGAGGCCTCCATCTCCTTATTGGTAAATGTAGGGGAAAACACGTTGATTATTCTGTGGCCACCAAGTTCCGAGCCCGCCTGGTGCTTGGGGCTCTGCCAGCTTCCTCTCTGGGTCCGCTCAAAGTCTCTGTGTCCCACCCCATCTCACTGTCTCTGCGTCTGCCCGTGACTTTCTGCTCGGCATCCCTGAGCCTCTCTCTCTGTTCCCTTGCTCCTGGCCTGGAGGTAGGTCACGTGATGGGCAGAGGCCAGTGGTCGACCCCACCAATTCGTCTTTTCTCTGGGCTTCAGCTCTTTGATCCCAGCGACAGCACTAACATCCCCACCCTGACATGACAAACGTGAAAAGGCTTCAGGAAACACTGCAGAAGGGACGGTGGCGGACATCAGGCAGAGGGCGAATTGGTTGCCTCACAGAGTGTCCAGCGGGTGGCGCTGTTGGATTTCATTCTCTGACTTGATTGGAGGGGGCAGTGAACTAGCTTTGGAGGGCCTGGTGGGAAGGAGCACCCAGTGAAATGGGAACCAGGGAGTGTTTCTCTGGCTCTCCTGGCGGGTTCTCTCCCTGCACATCTATCTGTCCAAAGCCGCAGGCCATGTCGGGCTTCCAGGGAGTGATGGAGGCTGGAGGCTCTTGGGCCTTGCCCCCACAGGACCTGGTGCCACATACGGCTCAAGACAAGAGGTCAGTCCGCAGGTCCTTACACCAGGCCAGTGACGACTGTGGGACAGAAGCACCACAGTGCCCCTTAGAGCCAAGAAGATCAGAGGTGGGGCATCAGGATTGAGGTCCGAGGGGACAACACTAAAGCCGGGCCTTCATGGAAGGAGGACCTGGGCTGTGGAGCTGGGAGTGAGGCAGCCACACTGTCACCCGAGGGCTGAGAACAGGGAGTGGCCTTGATGGTATTTGACTGGAGCTGGGTGTCTGAGCAGGAACACAGAGGGAGCAGGTGCTGGAAGAGACATACGGGCCTCAGGACATCGGCAGACATGACTTAGGGGCAGATGTGTCTCATAGCCAGAGCTCGGCCTCCCTCCCCTGATGTGGGGAGGTCAAAGCACAGGGCTGACTGTCATTTCCCACCTGCAAACATCCACGCTCACAATTATACCCACACGTGTGCGCTTACATGGATGCATGCACTCACCTGCAGAGACACTGCCCACACCTGTCACCCCCCTACCCCATGCCCCTCCTCTCCCCCAGGGAAGGATGAGCCTGTAGGGAGGGGTGGGCAAGGTGTGGGGCTAGGGGACCACGAGCCCAGGTCTCACACTTAAGAAAAGCCACCCATTAGACATTTGACTTTATTTCCAAGTGAAACTTTGATGCAGGCACAGAAATACACCACCAGGACTAAAAGTTGTCTGTCATCCATCTTGGTGATTGAGCAACATTGTCGTACCAGGAATTTTTTGTATTTAGTATTTTTTGTAACTCCAGTAATTGAACAATAATGCTTTATTGTAGTTTTGTGTTAAAGCTGTTCATTGGTTCCATGTAAACATTTAACACAAACCATTGTTTTAAAAAAAAATTCTGGGAGCTTCAACCAACAGGAATGGCCCGGGTCACTCCAGGCCTTCTATAGCGTCTGCTCTGGCCAGTGGTCAGAAGGGCCATGGAGTGGAATCGTCACCGCTTCCAGACTCCTCCTCACTCCACCCCATTCCGTGTGTGACCTCGAGAGTCAGAGGTCCTCCCTTGGGGTCAGTGGGGGCTGAGTCTGGTCCCAAAGCCCAAGCCCAGGACAGGGGCTGGACGCACGTTACTTAAGAAAGCCGGCTGGTCCAGGCAGAACCGACTTCGGCCAATAAGGACCGGAATTCTTCTGTGGCCGGGGGCCCTCACCCCGAAAGACTGGATGTCATCACTTGAGTCACCATGACATCACTACATGTCACCAAGGACTAAAAGTAGGGACATTGCAAATACCAAAGCAAGAG